TACTGTAAGGAAAACTGAAAATAGTAGGATTTTCTTAGTCGAAATCCTGCCGCAGTCAAGCCAGGCTCACTGGTGCACACCTGTAGCCGCATCAGTTAGCATCTGAGGCAGGAGTATTACCATGAGTTCGAAGCCCACGTGGGTTGCAAAGTGAATTCAAGGCCAGTCTGAACTGCATACCAAAACCTTGTCTCCAAAAGACGCAAAAAATTTGAAATGAAACAAAAACCAAGGTAAACAAATAAAAATTATACCACAAACTATAGTTTTGGTGTCTTTTCTTGAATGTTATTTTCTCAGAACGTTACTCTTTTAATCCCTTTAAAAGTGAAAAAGCCAAACTGAGATTTTTTTTTTTCTTCCAGCCTAGCTAACTAACATCAGCCCATAAACAAAATGAGCAGACAGCTCGAATTCAAAAATTAATGTTGGGGCCGGGGAGATGGCTCAGTGGAATAAGCGCTTACCTGGCAAGTGCAAGGGCCTGAGTTCAATCCCCAGTTCCGCAAAAAAAAAAAAAATCATATAATTTGTGCTCTACTGACAAAGATAAATTAGATCACTATTCTTGAGTTGTTACAATTTTTAAATAAGAAATTAGCCTGGTTTGGTGGCACACAGCTATAATTCCCGCACTCAGAAGATGAGGCAGGGTCATTGCAAATTTAAGGTCAACCTGGACTACATGGTGGGTTCAAGTCAGACTGAACTGTATAGCAAGACCCTGTCTCAGAGAGAGAGAGAGAGAGACAGACAGACAGACAGACAGACAGCAATGAATTTAATTGGGCAATATTTCTGGAGTTCCTGCTCAGTTTTGCTGAGGTAAAACATTTGGAATTACCAAACGATATCCTCAAATCTACATTTAGAACCGGAAATGAATCATTGCACTAAGAGCACACAGAATTATAGTAAGCCAAAAATTATTATCTTAATTTCATGTGAGTCACCTCATATTGCTATTTTTCTTGTCTAGAAGCAATACCTAATTAATACAGCATTACTATTTT